TTTCATTGCTTGTTATTGGATTCTTCAAAAGTTTTATGTCTTCTTGGCTTAGTTTCAGTAACTATGTGCACCTTAGAATCTGTCCATTTTCCATTTTCTTGGAATACAGTTTTTCACAGCAGTTAGTATCTTCTGGATTTCAACAGTGTCCATTGTGACTTGGCCTTTTAAATTTCTAATTACACTGATGTGAGACACCCCACCCCATCTCCCTCCCTCTCCCCCCCCTCTCATTAGTTTGGCTAAAAGTTTATTTTGTTTCTTCTTTCAAAGACCCACTCTTCGATTTGATTTTTTGTATTTTTTTTAGTCTGAATTTCATTAATTTCCACTCTGATCTTTATGACCATCCTCCTTAATGTCAGTTTGGGCTTGGATTGTTGTTGTTTGAGTATTTTGAGGTTCCTCATTAGGTTGTTTGAGCTTTCTCTGTTTGTTTGTTTTTTTTTTTTATGTGAGCATTGATTGCAATAAGCTTGCCTCTTAGGACTCCTTTCATTATAACCTATGAGTTTTGGTGTGTTGTGTTGTACTGGCATTGTTTGTTCCTAAAATTTGTTTAGTTTCTTCCTTGATTGTTTCTATGACTCAAACAGTGTTCAGAAGTGATCTATTAAATTTCAGAATTTTCTGTGGCTTCTTCTGTGATTGATCTAGTTTCATTGCACAATAACCATCTTTGTCTCTTCTAATTAGTTTGAGCTTGAAGATGTCTTTTCCTGAGAGAAAAATTGCTAGCCCTGGATCATGGTGCATGAAATGTTGTTTTCCACCTTATTTTTTTTTTTAGTCTACGAGTATCTTTTTGGATTATGTGAGTTTCTTGAATGCAACACATGGTTGGATTTTGTTTTTTGATCCAGTCTACAAATCTGTGTCTTTCAATTGAGAAGTTCAGGCCATTAAGATGGAGAGTTATTACTGAGAGGTGTTATTTAATTCCTATCATTGTGCTCTTCCTTCTCTCTTGACGTCTCCTATGTTTACCTCTTTCTTTTTGTTGTTGTTGTTGTTTATGTATTCATCTTGCTGGATGTATTCATTCTATCTGGATTTTTGGCTTTGTTGACTTCATCACATCTGTGTAGGATATCTCTGGAGTATTTTCTGGAGTGCTAGTTTGGTTTTCATAAATTTCTTTTCCTTTTTCATATAATGTTCTTATGACTATTTTGAAACAAAGTTTTCCAGATATGTTAAATTTGCTTTGGAAGTTGTTTGCTTTTTGGGCTTGAAATACTTCATGTCAAGCTCTTCTGGCCTTTAAGTTTTGTATTGAGAAGTCTGCTATAAATCTAATGGGCTTACTTTTCTAATGGGATTTTTGCTTTTCTCTGACAGCTTTTAAAATGTGTGTGTGTGTGTGTGTGTGTGTGTGTGTGTGTTAGACATGTGGTACTTTAATTATAACCTGTCATAGTGACCTTTTTTTTTTCACTGTAGTTGGTTGGTGTTCTGTAAGCCTCACCTACTAGTTTGTTGAATTTTTCCCTCATACTTGGGAGTTTTCCATTAAGATTTCTGTAAACAAATATATTATTCTAAGTGTGCTATCTTCTAGTTTCCCTCTAACTCCAGTTAACCTTAGGTTGATTTTCTAGTAGTCATCTAATAGTTGTTGGATGAATTTTCTATTTATTGTTTTATCATTTATCATTCCTCTCTCCCTCTCCCTCTCACTCTCCCTCTCCCTCTCTCCCACCCTCTCTCTCTCTCTTTGTACCAGGGATTGAACTCAGGACCTTGCACATTTAAGGCAGATGCAGTGCCACTGAGCTAAATCCCTGGCCCTCATTTCTCTTAATTTACCACTTTGTCCACAGTTTCAGAAACGATGTCTTTACATTGGTCATTTCTGCACTGTGTGAATTCTGTACAACTTTTTATATCTGACTTTTCTGTCTGGTACCTTTTCATGGAGTCTATATCTTTAGTAAAATTCATGTTTTGAACTGATGTGGTGAACTTTTCCAATTTTTAATTTGTTCCTTCAAATCCATATTGGTCATTTTGTATGATAATTTTGTAAATTTTTAGGTGATGACTTCTTTGAATTTACCAAGTTTCTTTAACTTTCTTCTTCAATCAATTTATAAAGCTTTGCTACCTGGTGTTTATTTTTCTGTCCATCAGTGCTCCCTGGATTTACCTTGGGAAAGTTGGGGGAATTATGGGTTTTTTTGTTGCTTTGTTTTGCCATGTTCCTCTGTGTTTGTGTGCCCCCTACACACACACGTTTTTTTTTCTTTTTTCATGCTGAGGGTTGAGGATCAACTAGGGTGAGGAAAGTTTGTAATTAATATGAAGTTTTAAAAATAAGATATTGCCTTTCAATGATGTGTTTTTAGCATTATTTGTCCAGAGATAGTGTCTGACCCTTCATCTATTTAACTCATTTAGATGTTATCCCCTGTCTTGGGAATTCTCCCTTCCAGTTTTCAGGCAGAATCTGACTGTGTCCTGGAACTGGATTAGGAACGCTTCCCTACCAGGCATGATGATGGCGCCTGGGGCAGGTTCACTTGCAGGTGGGGGTGTCCACAGAATCAAGAGCATGCTCTTGCTCTGGCAGAGTGTCTGCAGGAATCAGCCAATGCTTCCACTTGCAGTCATGGAACTGTGGGAGTTGGCAGGTAATTTGCTATCAGGAGGGAATCCGCAGGGACCATGGGCAGGAGTACATGATCATGGTAATCCACAAGCCCAGTTCACCTGTTTATCCCCTCTCTGCACGGGGTGTTGGGGGGGTGCCCCTGTCTTCATTGAGCACTGGTCAAGGTGCCACCAGGCTGCAGTGTTCCCCAGTTTTTGGAGGAGAAGTGGCAGGGAAAAGGGGCTGGTATATCAGGAGTCTGACCCAGGAGTCCAACCTGCACAGCACTCATTTGTCCACTTCCTCAGGCAGTTTGGAAGACTCTCACAATGGCTGCTCCCTGAAAGTGTGAGAGCTAGAGTAGTACAGACCAGCCGTAGCGGTCCACTTGCCCTCTTCAATGATTCAAATGTTAGGTTTGATTTAAGTGTATCATCTTTTTGATTCACTTTCTGATTTCAGAGTATAAGACCCTCGTTCATTACAGAGTACTGTGGCTTCACTGAATCCTCTCTGAGCACCTCTGACATGACTCCTCCTGTAGTCAGCCATGTCAGATCTCTCCAATAGTTCTGTCTTCTCATTCTTACAAATTATACACAGAGCTCTTATCCTTCATATAGGATTTGTCTGTTTGAAGGTTAATATCTTAAATAATGGCCCTTTCCAAGGAGTAGGTTCCTATTTAACTACCTCGAATAAGGAATAATAACCCTATTTCTGGTACTTTCTGTTAAGAAATAAGCATACACAGAGCAGTCACTCAATACTGTAGTATGAAACTGACCTTAGCTGGTGCCATTCAGTCAGGACCTTGTCTAGCACTGAGATTATGTGAACTTTAGCCCGGACTGTGAGGTCAAGTGCTGTTGCTATTCAATAATACATTTCTGCTAATGTTAAATAAAATTTCTAAATGTAAACATGTGCTTGTTGTTTATTGCTAGCTTTGAATATTGGTTTAGTAGGTTTGTTTTTTGCTGTTGATCTGTCATATGTCTAACACATTTCCCGTTTTTATCATTCTTTTTTATTTTGTAGGGTCTATACTTTGTAGGGTGTAATAAACTTCATGGAGGCCTGCTAAGTTGTTTCTTTATTAGTTAAATTAGGCTGTGATTTTGTTTCTTACCTTTCTCCACATTGTCACCCTGTTCTTTACAAATCTTAAAAGCAACACCACCCATCCCTGTAGTTGTAAGTGACTTTTTCTAGCTGATGTGAGAAACACTTAAAATGGTAGTAGTTGGATTGCCAGTGTTAGTAAACAGGTCTACTTTGAATGAGAAAAATAAATAATTTCTAAATTACCTCTGGTGCTAATAGATAAGAGAAACAGTGAATGTAAAAACATTGATAATGATCAAACTTGTGAAATAATCTCTGCCTCTTTCAGATAATTTGAATTAGGGCTGGCCATTGCTAGATATTTTCCTCTTCCTGGCCTTCTGAGAATGCAGTGGGAAAATACTTGTAGGAGACCAGGTAATGAGGATTGAGGCCTAATTGACCTTCCCTACAAGCGCAAAAGAGAAAAACAACAAGCTACGCCTTCTTTGGCAACTAGCATGTTACAAGTTCCAGAGAAGAGTCAGTACAGCTGAGATCTGAATGTTTACCTGGGTACATGCTGTTGATAAAAAGAGGCAGATGAATCTTCTATTAATCTACTTGTTCATGTGTCTAAGTGAATAAAAGCAAGGTGAGCCAAACACTCAGGGCTTTTTGTCCAAGACGCAAGAGCCCCTTGGTCCCCTAATTTTAAATTGTCTCTGTATCTGCATCTTTAATCTCTATTCAGTCCCTCCCTGGATCTGGAGAAATTCATAGGCTGGCTCCTACAGTCTGCAGCTCACTGATAGCAGGTAGCCAAACAGCGTGTTGAGAAGTAACAAATGTCAGTAGTGTAGAAGGCTTGATGAAAAGAACAAAGCATAGAAAGTTTGTGACTTACAGTGTGAGATGAAAATAGTAATTGGATTGTTTTTCATGATAAAATAATGTCATGAGTAACTGTGTGGTGTCTTTATCTTTTTTTTTTTGGTACCATGTATCAAACTTGGGTCCTTATGCTTGCAAGGTAGGCAGCAGAACCACTGAGCTAAATCCCCGGCCCTTTCTTTTATCTTTTTTTTTTTTTTTTTTTTTTTGGTGTGCGTGTGTGTGTGGTGTTTTTAATCAGTAAGAGTTGATTTTAGCTTTATTATCTTCTCTGCTTATTTTTTTCTGACATTTTTCTTTTCTTTTTATATTTCTCTTTATTTTCAGTTATCTTGATAAGTCAGCATATGTGACACTTGGTTCATTGTGTTTTTTTGCTTTCTTTTTGAGACACATCCATTCATTACTCTTATGTCAAATTTATTACTATTTGTATGATTGAAATGCAATTTTTATTTTCTTCTAGATTCGCCTGAGTGACATTATAGCAGCCAGAATTTTACGTTATGCAGATTTTGATACTTTGATGTACACCTGTGCTCCTGAGTCTTACTTCATGGAACGAGTGGTATGAATATTTCTGTATTTTTTCCTTCTCTACAGGTATGGTGGTTTTTACTCTTGAATTTTCCGCTTTGTGTGAAACTCAGTTTTTTAGTCAGATATACAAAATTCATTGTCTTCTTTTACTGTAACATTTGCTAACCATATGATATCCTCTCTTGTTTTATCTGTAAAGTCAGTAGCTAGTAGCCCTTATCCTAAAAAATGATGCTTAAATACTATAATCTAGAAAAAGTATTTGATATACTATAGGATCCATAGTAAGCACTATTATTACCAATTATTTTTAATAATTGAGATTACTTGAAGATATGGGTCCATTCAGAAAAATAAAATCCGCATTCTTTTTTTTTTAAGAAATGCAGTTTTATTTCATCAGTATGCATGATATCATAAAACATTTAACAGGGTATTGCTAATAACTTTTAATAAATACACAAAATTCATTTTAAATTTTAGAAACTTAAAATACATGATATCCTTTTAAAACATGCTCAAGCTGTTAAGTTTTAAAATATTTGCCTCCTTTGAGGACTATGAAAAATAAGACTAGAAAGAAATCTTAGTGACCATGTCATATAATTTTTCCATCTGCAGATGGAGAAAACAAAGCTTTTAAAAATTGCCTAATGTGCACACTGGAGCCAGAATTAAAATTAGCACATGGGCTCTGGTGGATCCTGGTGCTTCCAAGCCAGTGTTCTTTCCTATGTCTGAGGCTTTTTCCCCCCTCATGGAGCAGGAAAAAGTCACTGCATCAGCCCTCATCTAATAATGATAAACTCTGAGTTAGTGGTAAATACAATAATGAAATTTCACATTTTCTTCTCCATCTAACCAGTTACTTATTCATTTGGGAAGTTGGTATTGGCCACCAGTCAGCCATAAAGCAGTTGGCTATAGGCCAGCAAAGAGAAAAGGACCTGGCTCCTGCTTTCAAGAAATACAGTTGTGCTGGGCATGGTGGTGCATGCCTGTAATCCCAGCACTTGGGAGGCTGAGGCAGGAGGATCTCTGTGAGTTCGAGACCAGCCTGGGCTACAGAGTGAGTTCCATGTCAGTCTCAACTACATAGTGAGACCCTGTCTCAAAAAAAAAAAAAAAAAAAAAAAGCTGTTACACGGCAAATCACTCCTTATCACCAGAACAGGTCAAGAGGATTATTGGCTGATATTACTTCTGCATTTTTCCACACTTCCAGTAATTATTTTGGCTAGCTTTCTTGCTGTTAGTGCTTGTTTCACAGATGAAAAGAATAGAGCTTTGCAGTATAGGAAATAACAACCATAGGCTCAGGGAGCAGTAACACACATGTTAAAACTTAATATTATGTAAATAAAGAAAATACAGATCCAAATAAAGGAAAACATAATGGACTTAGCTAATTCTAGGTCTAATGGGTGTGTCATTAATCTTTTTGAATACTTTGTATAGTTTTATAATTTTGATTCCTCCATTAGAATGTGGAGGTTGATAAGTACTTTACTAATGACAAAGATATTTTACCTTTAAGTAATACCATCATGGCACTCAGTTTGACAGATTTTTACTAAGTTAATGTAAAATTCAGTAACTTATCAATAATTTGCCGATTCAATTTTCAGACTCCACTGAGATACACAAAAACGTTATTGCTTCCAGTTGTTACGGTGATTACTTGTTTTATCTTTAAAAAGGTATTTTAAATTTTTGTATCACTTCTTTTTAGGTTCAAATTAAAAATGCCAATAGATGAATGATAATTGCTCAGAATTCTTTATTTTTAAATAGGATTAACTCTATCTTTACAGTTTTTGAGTCTTTCTTTGTCTTTATTTTTATAGAGATCCACATTATTAAAGGTTTTTTTTATTTTTTCGAAAGATTTTTGTCAATCCCTTGCTATGTATGAGGAACTACATTAACATTGTAGGTACTGTGCAGAAATAAAACATGGCCGGCCCCACCTTGGGGAGTCCTGGGGGATGGAAAGTAGGAACATTAAGGAAGTAATCACATAATTAAAGAATTACAATTGTGATAGGTACTAAGAAGGAAAAATACAGTGATGACCTCAGTATCTTCCACAGGTAAAGCACATTCAAAGACGTCTTGATCTATTTTGATTAGACAGACTCGGGAAAAATTGGTATAACCATTTGTTTTCTTTTTTCTTTCCTTCTCCTGTTCCTCCTATCCTTCTGTCACACAGACACAGTTCTTCCTTTTCCTCTTTTTTGAAACATAGAGCCTAGAACTCACTGTCCTCCTGCCTCAGCCTCCCAAGTTCTGGGATTTTAGGCATGCCCCACCACACCCATTTTTGTGCAGACATTTAAAAATACCTTTCTCTGCACATTGAGTGTTTTTACAACAGAAGAAATGTCACAATGAAAAGAGATAATCTGTAAAATACCACTGCCAGTTATGCCTGGTCTGGGATTGATGTGTCTGAAAGCCCATTTCATGACAGTGGGCCCGTAGGAATTTGTGTTTCTTTTCTTTGAACCATCTTTATTAATACTGTTTAGCAGTTGTCTTGCCTTAAGTCAATATGTATTTATTTTATACTTTCAGCAGATACCAATAACATGGTTTCTCAACCACAATACCAGTTGTGGTTCTAATGAAAGGAGTTTCCTGTATTTAAAGGCAAACTGCGTGTGTCCCCCTGCCCCACGCCACATGCCTCACTCTTTTGTTTTCACATAGAGTATGAATGATTTCTGAGTAGGCTGTTTACATCTGTGCTGTTTCTCCTTTGACCCAGTTTCTTGGGGATGGCTCGGAGACAGCGAGGACAGAGGAAATGAGAGGGAGCAGCGTAGGTGGGAACAAGTTATCCCCAGAGCCCAATTCCGTTCCATCAGGGGCAGTTGTGGCATTGTTACAGGGCTCCACTTAGGGGAGAATGTGTGACTGTGCTTCATATTCAGTGGAGAGATAGCCAGGGCAGAAGAAAGTGCGAGGTAGATCTGCTGGTACTGTATTTTTTTCAATTAAGAACCAAGACTCATAAACACATTAAGAGCCCCCAAACATACCACAAGTCTCACGGTGTGTGTGTACTAGCAACTGCACACACACACACACACACACACACATGCACACACGTTTCTATGGAAGTTGAAACATTGTTCTATGAGGGATGCTCTTGAATCAGTGAGAGAAACGTTCTAATCTTACATTATATTTTCAATTGGAGTCCAAGTTCAACTCTGTATTATTGTTTCATGTGTATCTCTGAGCCATAAACCACATAACCTGTGGAGAGAGAAATTTTAAGATATCCTTAAATGTTCTGTGTGTCCAGCTCACATCTCAGGCCAACTCACATGTATCTTGTTCTCTAGCACTCCATTCTGATGAGTTTCTTAAGCCTCCTGTAGCCATCACATTGGCTTGAAAGAGTAACCAGGGAGGCGCATATGTCCATAGCTAATTCATTATAATCCAGAGTTCTGAGTGCAATAGGAACATGGGTGATCTGGATAAAGGAGAGAGATCATCATTTGCTATCAAGACTGAGATAAAGCAGTCCCTGAAAATGCACAGGAAAAGCTGCCTCCTGTGTGGACACCAATCTGCTACCCCTACTCCCCTGCCCAGGAAAAATGTGGATTTCAACACTAGTAAGTAGTTATACACTTTAGGGAAGCTTAGGATCTCGGAGCTGAAGGGGACCTGAAGATCTATTCCAACACTCTTTATAGAACAGAGTTATTTAAAAAAGCAAGTTGCCTGTGACAGAGCTGAGATTGAACTATTCTTGAAAACTCACTTTAACATAAAAAATACTTCTTTCAGTGGTAATGTTTGCATTAACTAATCAGAACATTTAAAATGTTGCAACATTCCTTAGAAAAATCTTATTGGTTTGATTCTGTTCACAGACTATTTGTGACGTTTTATGTGCCTTATCTACAAACACTTACCTAAGGTAACTATATCATAGTTGTGTTAAAAACATATTATATTAATTATTGAATAACTTAGTGAAATGTAAATGTTTCAAATATATATATGTACATTAAGCTTTGCCATTATGACTAAGAAAGGAGATAGGAACCAAATTTAGATGTTGTCTTTAAAGAAATAAGACAACTGTTCTTATGGATTTTCTTTAACTTGTATTGGAAATACAGTTATTTGTGAAATAACTCAAAATTTAAATTGATTTAATTTTAGTATATCACTAGAAATTAAAGTTAGTAAACAGAAATGAGTTAAAGTTTTATTTAGACCATTATTTTTTTTTAGCATTTAGAGAAGGTATACTAGCCAGGGATTTAGCTCAGTGGTTCTGCTGCCTGCCTTGCAAGTGCAAAGACCCAAGTTCGATTCCCAGTACCAAAAAAAAAAAAAAAAAAAAAAAAAAAAGAGAGAGAGAGAGAGAAGGTATACTTATTTGTTTTGCTGAATATTTGTGAACAGCCTTTTGGCTGTATTTTTATTGCTAAATCTCTATTGTATCACATTTTAATGTTTTCATGGAAGTTACCAGAATGAATAAAACATGACATAAAATTAAATCCACATAAATAAATTGCTATTGGACACAGGAAGCAAATTTTAAAGGCAACCTCCTTTTGAGGGAAATATCTCAAATTACATTTTATATTTGTAGCATATCATTTAATTTTATTTAATGACCTTTACTTTTCAGAACACATTTAGATTTACAGAAAAATAGTGAAAATTATACATAGTTTTCATGAACCTTATATTCCACACTTCTGTTTTTAATTAGCAGTCGTTGTGTTTTGTCATGTAGATGGGGTGGGACTTTCTTTTTCAGAGGGAGTTAAATCCGGAATGTGTGGTGCTGGGGTTAAGGGCATGTGATTACTAAACCACTACACGTGAGTGATTACTCTGGCACCGCCCTAATCCCGGTAGTTTGAATAAGATAAAAGGGGCGGAAAGATGCTGTTAAATCCTCTCCTTACCTTTGCTGCCTTGTGCATGCGATGTTGTTTCTCCTCTGTGAAGCTTCTTTGCCACCCCTGTCTTGGAGCCAGCCATATATGGACTGAAACCTCTATGAACTGTAAGCCAAATAAACCCCTTCCCTTTTGACTTTGGATGGTGGGTATTTTGTCTCAGCAATGGAATAAAAGTAGCACAGCAGTTGTGTGTGGTTCTCACAAGAGCTAAGACCTTAGGTGCATTTGTTGAAGTCATTTCCAAAGCGAGGGTGATGACAGACCCGCTGTACTTGGTTATGGTCGGATGGGGTCCAAGGTACCCTGAAAACAGTCACACAAGGACACATGACAGGGCCAGGCATTTAGCTCAGTGGTTCCGCTGCCACGTACCAAAAAAAAAAAAAAAGAACACGTGACAAATCTGGGTTATTTAACTTGATGATATAAGGCTGAGGAGCACATGGCCCCAGGGTTCAGATGTTTGAGAGGTAGTGATGAGGGAGGAGACCCGTGTGGGGCCAATTGGTAGTAAGTCCTTCACTCAGAGCAAGGAAGTCTTTCTTACTGACTGCGTACCTGTGTGTGTGTGTGTGTGTGTGTGCGCGCGGGTAGAGGGGCCTTCAAAGCTGAAGTGCAGTCATCCCTCCATTCAGAGAAAACCAGGCGTCTGGGTCCAGGATTTAGCTCAGTGGTGCTGCTGCCTGCCTCACAAGCACAAGGTCCTGAGTTCGATCCTGGTACCAAAAAAAGAAAACCAGTGTCAAGAAATGAATGTTCCCACTCTTAGACACGCTCTTCACAAGTATTGATTGTAAGCAGCTTTGTAGGAATCACTCTACAAAGTACTTATAGAAGTACAGTGGTGCCTCAGCTTACGAACTTAATTTGTTTTACAATTTTGGGGAAGATGGCTGCATTTGTGTTTGTGTGGGGAACATGGCCGTGGTCATATTTGTCACCTCCTGCAGAGTTTACAAATGGAAGCAAAATTTTGCCAAATGCTTTTGCTTGTAAACTGAATTGTTTGCAAATAGAAGTGTTTATGAACTGAGGTATTACTATAGATTTTAGTGGAATCATGTTCTTGTTACTCTGCTACTTGTTATTTTTATTTAACAGTGTGTCTTGGGCTTGGACCTAGATATTCCTTACATTTTGTAGTCATCTTTACATCCTACTGTTTTTCACATGAGGGACCACTGTGTGTTTAGCCATTTCCTCATGTATAGATGTTTAGATTATATTTAGCTTTTGTCATAGCAGCCAATATTGTGAGTAGTGCGTACTGTGCACACTTATATAGCATAGAGTATTTGAAGTGAGGCTGTTGGACCTTACAGTATGAACATTCTATAATTTGGTAAATGCTGAGAAATTATAGTGCTTAAGGTGCCCATTTTCCTGCATTTCCATGCACACCATTGCTATCAAACTTTTAACCTTCTCTGAGAGAGTTTTTTAGAGTAGCCCATTTTATTTCACAAGTATTTGTCAGTGAAGTTTTGCATCTTCTAATAATTCTTCTGGATATATTTCTTCTTGACTTTTTAAGGAGGCTTTTCAAGTTGGTATAGTTCCACTTACCTGTCTTGGCTTCTATCACCTGTGTTTTTGGCGTCATATCCAAGAAAACATTGCCAAAAACAATGTCAGGAAGCTTTTTTTATACATTTTCTTCTAAGAGTTTTATAGTTTCAGATCTTAAGTGTTAGTCTTTAATTTGAGGTGATTTTTATATGTGGTGTCGTATAAGGGTCCAATTTTCTTCTTTGCATGTCTATTGATATATATATATAGTTTTCTAACACCATATGCTGGAGACCACCCTTTCTCCTTATGCAGCAATGCTAACTAGTTAGCTTCCTTTGTGTTTTTTTATGATTTATTTGCTGTTCATTGACATTGATGTTCAACTTCTATAAGTGTTCTATGAGAAATTTTAAATATAAGATATTTTATTGGAGTTTGAAGTTATATGTTATATCATGTAATTAATTTTGGGTTTGTTTTTTTTTTGAGACAAGGTCTCACTATGTAGTTGAGACTGACTGGAACTCACTATGTAGCCCAGGCTGTATATCATTTAACTAATACTGATAGGCTAAATGTTCTACTATACCAATTTTTTTACTTCTTTGTGTCTTATTTTCTCTGAATGTCATCTTCATATAGAAAACAGCATTTCAGTGTTGTTTTCATCTGCATCTCTCAAATGATCAGTGATATGGAACATTTTTTCATATATTTAAATTAATTTTTATTTTTTTTTTTTTTTTGAGACAAGGTCTCACTATGTAGTTGAGACTGACTGGAACTCACTATGTAGCCCAGGCTGTATATCATTTAACTAATACTGATAGGCTAAATGTTCTACTATACCAATTTTTTTACTTCTTTGTGTGTTATTTTCTCTGAATGTCATCTTCATATAGAAAACAGTATTTCAGTGTTGTTTTCATCTGCATCTCTCAAATGATCAGTGATATGGAACATTTTTTCATATATTTACTTGCTGCTTTTACTTCTTTGAGAAATGTCTGTTCATTTTGGATGCCCATTTTTGAATCGGGTTTTTATATTTGGGGGGGCTGATTGTTTTGAGTTCTTTATATATTCTTGATAATAGTCCTTTGTCTGAGGAACAGCTGGTAACAATTTTTTCCCACAATGTAGATTGTCTCTTAGTTCTGCTGATGGTTTCTTTTGAAGTACAGAAGCTTTTTAATAAGATGAGATCCCAGTTGTTGATTCTATCTTCTAGTTCCCATGCTACTGAGGATTTGTTCATAAAGTCTTTTCCTATGCCAATGTCTTCCAGAGTTCTGCCTAACTTACCTTCCAGCAAGTTTAATGTTTCTGTTTTAATATTTAGATCTTTAATCCA